ACGCCACGGTCCGGTTGAAGTGGGACCTCAAAGAGGAGGGAGTGCCTGTTTGGCCTCCTCAGGTCCTTGAGGACGGGGAGGATCCAACGGGGCTGCCCTCCTTTGACGCATGGGTAGAGGGTGCTCCTGTAGCTGAACAGGAGCCTTCAACCACCCTGCCTAACTCTCAGCCCACCGTGGTGCCAGTCAGCTCGCCAGTCAGCGCACCAGTCTTTGTGGCCGCTGCTCGGTCTCCTCCTGCTCGCTCTCCTGCAACTGCTGCTGATGCATCCATGCCCGTCGATCTGACGGATGACTAGATTTAGGGTTTTTCTTTTGTTCTTTTGTATTTCACTTTTGCATTTTTGTATTTGATCAATGTAATACATAAGTACCTTCAATGTAAACATCTTTGATGAAATACAAAAATGAGTTTTCCTCTGAATTTCTGTTGTATTTTCAGTATATCATTGTTTACAACTGTCGAATAACAACTTGAATAAAAGAGTAGTATACAGTTTAACTGTAAAATTTTCTTAGATTCTGTACGTTCCAAATGTAAGGCAAATGACGTCCCTGTATATCTGCTAATACGTAAGAGCCAGGTCGTTTAACTTGAACAACCATATAGGGGCCTTCCCAATTAGGAGCGAGCTTGCCCATATATGAATGGGTGTTAGTTAGCCCAGCTTTACGTAGGACCAGATCGCCGACTTGAAACTGGCGAGCTCGAACTCTTTTATTGTAAAATTTTGCAACACGATTTTGATGTGCCATGTTTCTTATTCGGGACATCTCCCTGATTTCTTCCACAAGGTCTAGGTTTTCTCTTAAGAGTTGTTCATTATTCTGATCATCATGACGATCTGATCTATCGGATGGCAATCCGACCTCGACAAGGATAACAGCCTCAACTCCATAGGCCAGACTGAACGGGGTTTCGCCTGTGGCCGAGCTGGGTGTAGTACGACATGACCACAGCACTTTATTGAGCTCGTCAACCCAATTAGTATGTGCAGCCAAAACACGCGTCTTGAGTCCCCGCAAGATGATTTTATTGGCAGACTCGGCTTGCCCATTGGACTGTGGAGTGTACACGGATGTCAAAGCGAGCTCAATGCCATAGTCGTTACAAAACGATCTCAGTGCTGCTGCTCGGAACTGTGGCCCATTGTCGACGATAATCCGCTTAGGTATGCCGAACCTGCACACAGATGAGCAAGCTGAGCTACAAATCACGTTTGCATATATTTTATTTATGACCTCGTTCACCAAAGAATACCTGCACAAAATTGAATTGAACAAGAACTCTTCTATTTTTCTTTCCATTGTCGTGGACAGTGGTTTGGCTTCTATCCACTTAGTGAAGTAATCCACTGCAACGACCAGGAAAATGCAGCCTCCTTTGCCTTTGATGAAAGGGCCGAGCAGGCCAACACCCCATTGAGCAAAGGGCCAAGGAGACGTAAGTGATGAGAGCATTTGTCCTATTTTAACAAAGATACTTACGCTCAGTTCATAGATGGTCACTAAGTTTGCATAAACTTTAGAACGAGCTCGGATACCTGGCATATGAATATCATCGGCATATGAATATCATCGGCATTGAACTGGCAGGTCGGGCACTTTTTGACGTAGTTCTGTGCGTCCTCGACCATAGTGGGCTAGTAATAACCGTGCCTCAGGAGTTTCCGAGCTAAAGTTCTGCCACCGATGTGCGTGCCACATACTTCTTCGTGAATTTCTCTCACGGCGTATTCGGCTTCATAAGGAATAAGGCAGCGTAATAGGGGCATTGAGGCTGCTCGCTTGTAGAGCTGGTTATCCAACACAGTGAAATGTGCCGCCCTGCGTTTAATCACTTTTGCAGCGGACTGGTCTTCAGGTAGCTCGCCACTTTGTAAATAATTTATGAGCAGGGTGGTCTAGCTCGGTGTAGAGGGATCTATACTTAGCAGTTGACACTCGACCGTGAAATTAGTGTAGCTCGGCGCGTCGAGTATCTCGACAATTGTTGATCTCTGAGGGTTAATGTCCTGCGAGGAGGCCAACTTTGACAACTTGTCAGCTCGGTGGTTGTCTGCTCTTGGTATTTTATCAATTTGGAAAAGGGCAAATATCGATTTCAATCTGTTAACCACAGAGGCATAACAACTGAGTTGGGGATCTCTGATGTCGCAGCTGCCATTCACCTGGCCCACTACGAGTTTCGAGTCGCTGAAAACCTGAATGCTTTGTACTTTCAGCTCGGACACCAGCTTTAGTCCGTAAATGAGGGCTTCATACTCCGCAGCATTATTGGTCGTCTGAAATTTAAACCTCAGCGCGTGCTCAAATTTAAAGCCATCTGGGCCCAGTAAGACAGCTCCAGCACACGACCCTTCCGTGTTAGCTGCTCCATCAACATACAAAACCCAAACTGGGTGTTTGGGTGCTTTTTCTTCATTAGCTACTGAGGTGCACTCCACCAGAAAGTCCGCAACGACTTGGCCCTTTATGGTTGTGCGCGGCCGAAATTTCAGGTCATATTCACTTAGCTCGACGCTCCATCCAATAAGCCGACCAAAGAGTTCATGTTTCTGCAGTATTTTTCTCAACGGCAGATCGGTATAGACAACAATCTGATGTGATTGGAAGTAAGCTCTCAACTTACGAGCCGTGTAAACTAAGGCAAAAGCAGCCTTCTCTGCTAATGGGTAATTCTGCTCGGCACCTTGTAACACCTTGCTCACATAGCAGACAGGCTTTTGACTCTTATTCTCTTCCTTCAGTAGCATTGAACTCACCGCTTCTTCTGTGACCCCCAGATAAAGATATAAACATTCCTCGTTGATCGGCTTGGACAGCAGGGGTGCAGATGCCAAATACTGTTTGAGCTCATCAAACGCCTGTTGACATTCACCAGTCCACTGAAAGTTTTTAGGCTCCCGCAGAGCTTTGAAGAACGGAAGGCACCTTTCTGCCGATCTGGCTATGAACCTGTGCAACGCAGCTACCCGACCCGTTAGACACTGTACATCTTTTACAATCTTGGGAGGCTCCATTTGCTGAATGGCCTGGACCTTCTCTGGATTTACTTCGATTCCTTTCTTGGATACCACGTACCCTAGGAATTTCCCTAATTCTACAACAAACATGCAATTCAAGGGATTCAACTTCATTTGGGCTCGACACAAGTTTTGAAACGTTTCATCCAGGTCGTCGATGTGATCCTCTGCTCGCACGCTGGTGACTATCATGTCATCTACATACACTTCTATGTTTCTGCCGATCTGGAGCTTAAAGATGATTTGCATCAGCTTATGGTATGTTGCTCCAGCATTTTTGAGGCCAAACGGCATCATGACATAGCAGTATATTGCGTCACCAGCGTAAAAAGCTGTTTTTTCTTGGTCGTCTAACAACAGTTGGACCTGGTGGTAACCTGATCTGGCGTCTAGAAAACTCATCCGTTCATGCCCAGCTGCCCGTTCTACCAACTTCTCGACATTTGGTAACGGATGAGGGTCTTTTGAACATGCGTCATTGAGGTTGGTGAAATCAATACACATCCTCCACTTGCCATTTGGCTTTTTAACGAGCACGGGGTTAGATACCCACTCAGAGTACTTTACTCTTCTGATGAAACCTACTTGTTGCAGCTTTTGTATCTCTTCGTCAATTGCAGCTTGTTTCTCGGGGCCAAAAAGGCGACGTTTTTGCACCACTGGCCTTTTAGTGGGGTCCGTGCTTAGCTTGTGGACTGTCAACTCTGCGGGGATGCCCGACATTTCGTCCGTAGTCCACACAAACACGTCTTGATTGTCCCTCAAAAACTCCAGGAGCGCTGCCCATTCCTCCTCTGTGAGTTTGGTGCCAATCTTGACCGTTCTCTCTGGCACAGCAGGATTCAGAGGGACCGTTTCTACCGGCTCTACTGGTTCTGCTTTCTGCTCGACACACTCAGGTCGGTGTTCAATGTCTGAAATGCTCATTGTTTGCTGAGCGAGCTGGGTTGGCTTGCGGCCTTCAGCGCATGTTAGGGCCGCGGCGAGCTCGACCTTCTTAAATGTGTCTTGATAACAGGCTCTAGCCATCTTTTGATTCCTCTTCAGCACTCCTACCCCCTGAGGAGTTGGGAATTTCATGCAGAGATGGGGTTGCGAGATGACAGCCTTCAGCTCGCACAGAGTGGCTCTTCCTAATATAGCATTGAAAGCTGATTCCATTTTAACGACCAGGAAGGTGACGGAAGCCATTCTGAAGCGTGGTTCTAAGCCCACATATATAGGAAGAGTGATAACTCCCTCAACCGAGACGGGTTGATTATCAAACCCGTATATTGGCCCTTCGTGCTTCTGCATCGAGCTCAGATTTAGCTTCATCTTCTGGAAGCAACCCCAGTATAGGATATCTGGCGAACTGCCAGTGTCAATAAACACCTTATTGACATTATGATTGCCTATATGAATTGTCGCCACAAAGGGATTGGCATGAGGCATCATAATGTCAGGCTCTGCTTCTGCTCGCTTGTAATCTGTCGGGCGGAATGTGATGGGCATATTTTCCCATTCTGCTTCCTCAAACGGCCGTTTCAAAGGTTTGTTTTTTTTGACAGTCATCACCTGCCTGGCGTATGCCTTGCGGGCTCGGGCGCTTTGGCCCCCAGAGTGAACACCTCTTGATATCATGTTTATTGTACCTGAGGGTGGGGGTATCCCAGCATAGCCTACCTCTTTCTTATCTTTTTGGTTCTGGGCAGCAGCTCTTTGCCCTTGTCCCCTCCTGTTGAACGAACGCCCTCTGTATGCTCTCCCTTGATTAGAAGGATATTGGCTATCCTGATATACATTCTGCGCCCCGCCGAGCTGGTATCTCTGCCCTTGAGGTCAGTCATAACCCTGTACAAAATGAGTTTGAGTGGGTTGCTGGGCGTGGGGCTTCTGAACATATGCTTCTAGCTTTCCATTGCGAGTCAGATACTCCAGCTCGTCTTTCAAGTGTTGGCAGTCTTCAGTATTGTGGCCATACACACGATGGTAGTCACAATGTTTGCTCTTATCTGCTCTTGGGGAATCGTGCAACGGAGGCGGGGGTCTCCTAACCCAGTGTTGGATTTGTGCAAGGATTTGAGACCTTGGCAGGGTTAAAAGAATGTAGTTGGCATATTTTGGGAAGTCAGCAGGCTTCCCCCACTGTTCGCCAACTTTCTGTTTCTTCTTTTCTTCCCTTCTCGGTGGCTGCTCCTGGCTTTTGCTTTGCTTATCGTCAGCTCGTCGCTTGGACGACTGGAAGTCTTCTGATAATATGAAGCTAGCCGACCTGTCATTCACTTCATTCCAAGTCCTGGGTGGGTTCTCTAGCAGGTCGTTTAGAAACCGACCGCACTTCAACCCATGCAACAATGCTGATAGACAGATGGTGTCTAGGACGTTGTCAATGTCCAGAGTGGCTTTGTTGAATCGCTGCATGTAATCTCTTAGAGATTCCCCTTCCTTTTGATTAACTTGCATCAGCTCGGTTGCCGTGCGTTTGATCTCTCTTTGGCTCGCGAATTTGTTGGAGAATAGCTTGGCGAGCTGAGAGTATGAATCTATAGAATGTCTGGGGAGCTTGTGATACCATCTTCTGGCTGTTGATTTCAGTGTTGCAGGGAACACTTTGCACATCATGGCATCATTTGCATTTTGGATCCTCATGATGGCCTGATAAGTGTGTAGATGTTCATCCGGATCGCCCGAGCCATCATATGTCTCCAGGTGGGGAATTTTGAATCCCTCTTGATACGGTTCTGCTGTGATGGATA